GTTTACAAGAAAAACAGATCAGAGAAAGTAAATGTAGTTCAGTTCCGGGGCTTGCAGGGACTCCCTGATGCCTACCAAATCTGTCCCCTCTTCTTCCTAGGCACTCACCTAGACTGTATATTTCCCAGTTTCTACAGGTAGACATGGCCATTGGAGTTCAAACTACAAAGAGGAAGCCATGTAACCAGTTCCAGGACTGATAAATCTCCCAAGTTCAAGTTTCCACTCTTTCTCCATCTGCTGCCTGAACAGAGACATACCAAACTTAAGTGTTGAAGACAGTAGGGCCTAAAAGGAGCCTAGTTTCCAGAATTGTTGCTTGGAGGAGAAGCCACCTAACCAGGAAGCCCAGATCGGATTGCAAGATGAGTGAGAAGTTAACACTAATGTGTTACTATTTGAGGGTTCATATGTTACATCATCCAAAGACAACTTAGAGGGGCTCTCCCTGCTGGTAGGTAGAAGAGGGATGTGCAGCATGGCAAGAAGGGGAAACTCCACAAATCCTTCTCATGGAGCCCAGAAATTTCCAGAGTGAGGACTGCTGGAGGATTGACCTGGCAGTCCTCTGGCAGTCTCCTTTGTCCACTTCAGCTTCACTGGGTGAAAACACTAAAAAGGATTCAAAACCTCTTTGGTTTTCTGTGCCTCTACAGGGCCTGCAATAAGGTCTAATAAAAGCAGAAAGTGTGAGTAGGAAGCATCTGAAGTGGGAAATGCCGTTAGGCTGGCCCATAAAAGATGAGTGCTATGAGCAGTAAAATGAGCTAAGAAGGAAAACATGATGAATGTTTTCTCGGCCTTAAACAGCAAGATCCCCTTTCACAGTCCCACGTGGCACTGCAGGCCTGGCTGGAGAAGCAAGGGGCTCTGTGCAGAGCTTGACTCAGGGACTGTGGCAGTGAGCCTGTGCCTACGGACCCTGGTGGGTTTGGGGGGATGTATATCGACTCCTCCATCATGTCCCAGCCCCCCTGGTCCTTACCAGGATGAAGGCTTCCACAGAGGCCCTGGAGGAAATTCTGAATTGCCCATGTTACAGAGCTAGGACATCTCACATAAGGAAAGGAAATCCAGATTCACAGTACCAGGAGCAGACAGGGAGAACATTTGACTTAAGAAGTTTGAGATTTGACTTGAGAAGGTAAACACCCCCCCCCACTGCCTACTGCCATAACTCACTGTCCCATATAGAAAGGACTTGTATTTCCTGTGCTGCTCCCCACACTCACACTTAGACACCTCTCTCCTCAGTTTATGTAGTTGCCAGGAGTTCCTCAAACAATTCAAGTTTGTCTTCCTCCATGAACACTTCTCTCTTTATTACAGTCCCTTTGAATCTCATTTTTAGAAAAACATCAGAGTGGAAAGACCTGGGCTAAAGCCCTGTCTTTGTTACTTACAAGCTCTGTGATTTTGTGGACATTGCTAACCTCTAGGAGTTTCTATTTCCCCATCTATAAAATAGGGATTAAAATACAAATTCTGTAGGGTAGTTGCAAAGATTATGGGATAAACTTGCATAATGTGTAACATGTAATAAAAAGTCAGTAAAAACATGTTTCCTTCTAAAATTCTGCAGAATATATGGTCATTACTACAAGTGTAATGCTTTTTACTGTTCAGTGTTTCTTATGCACGTATCTTGACTTCTCAACCAAACCGAAATCTTCTTGAAGGTAGAAATTTTCTACATCTCTGTATTATATAGAACAGTTCTGAGAAAATTGTAGAATATCAAGCCATATTTAGTACTTTTTTATTAATTGTTACACATAATTTATCTGATTGCTATTAGTTAACAAATAGTTTTAACCTTCTAAGGAAGTCAGATAGAAGGGTTGGATGACACTCATCCTTGGCCAAGGAAGTCATGAAAATAGGACTGTATCAGGGCCATCAGAAGACAGATCAAATTTGAGGAGTCTCTAAATGGCCTCAGTCCCAGAAGACCAGCAGCCAGGCTTCAGCAAATAAGAATCAATGCCACAAAGCCCTGGGAAGAACAAAAATACCTGGTCTCAGCTGGTGCCAGACTAGCAGAGCCTGTCCTCCAGTGAGGATATGGCTGCCCTCAGTGTAATCTGGACCAAGCAAATTCTGAGATGTCTACATGTGTACTTGCCCAAATGTCATCTCCTTAGAGCAGCGCTCTTAGAAAACACTATTTAAATGAGTGTTCATCCTCATTCTCCAATCACTCTCTATCATCCTGTTATTTGTAATTCCTTCAGGATGATTCTTACAATCTGAAATTATATTATTCATTTGTTTGCTAGTGTATCCCACAGCAGTCTCTCACCAGACCATGAACTCCTCAGAAGCAGGAATATGTCTAATTTTCCACCTCTGTGTCCTCATGCCAAGGACAGTGCTTGACACAGAGTAGGCATGAAATAAATGTTTACTGAAATTGAACCAGATGAATGAATGAAGCTAGTCACAGGCATGGCCCTCTCTGGAATTCAGATCTCCAACTGACAACTGTAAGCACAAAAGAGAAAATTTATCTTTGTGTCTAGGTTTCCTCAGGAGGATAACTGTCCTTTAGCTTATTGAATGCAAATTAGTACAGCAGAGCTTCTCTGAAATCCTCCAAGTACTAAGCAATGAATCAAACATTTGACATCAGCCAAACTGCTCTGTCCTTCCATCTCTACTCTCTATATGCTCACTAATGATAAAATATTTCACAGGAGAGAATATTAGTTTATAGGCTACAAGAAGATTATGAATTCTTATTTTATTAAATTACTAGGCTTGAATTGAGATGCTATCATTTTTCCTCCAAAACTTGTTTATTTATTGACTTTTAAGTTATCTCATTCTTAACCCACCATTTCTGCTATAAAAATTCTGAGCATGATTCAAAGTTCAATCAGGTTCTACCTCCCAGAGAAAACAGTTCCAACCTTACCTTCTTACACTGAGCATCTCCTCTGAATTTTCAGTCTTTTATATCATTTGACTCACAGGCACATGACTGCCTGAAAAGCGAACCCTTTCAAGAAAGAAACCATGACATGCATTTTTTTTTACCCCTCCATTATGTATTAGTGGATCCCGACAAGCTAGTATCTACATTAGATTTACATTAATCTGCCATGGAATGCTATATGGAGAATAATCTTTGTTCATTTGGGCCCATTAATTTGGAGTGAATGATAATTCAGCCATGCAACCATTTTGCACTATTCTTGAAAAATGGGCTTGGTCAACAAATTCAGCAGTAAGAATAACTATGCATTGAGATTCTGTTGCAGGCCATAACTTTCCAAGGATCCAAAGAGGAACAAGACAGTCTTTCCTCCAGAAACATGAGTGAGGGCAGAACAGATTTCTAATAGCTCTTTGTATGTAATCAGTGTGCCAATTATAAGGAATTTTCACCATTACATTAAAGAGAATTGGGTAGAGCATATTCTCAACAATTTTTTATCCAGTTTGTTAAAATAAATATTTTTATTACTTCCCCATTTGTAGATAGAAACACATGCCATAATTGAGATGTAATTGACTAGGACTGCTCTAATTAATCCAAATAACAGAAATTTTGTACTTAACACTCATAAATGATTACTGAAATTCTTATTCTGTTAAATGAAATTTCTATGTAAAGCTTGCTCTTTGGCATATAATGATTATCTATTGCCTAAAAAACCTCAAACACAATTAGGCCAGTGCATCATATTTGGTATGCTGCTAAGTCATAAAGAAATAACTGCAAGCTTTATATGTGGTTGCTTTCAGTCTGCCATTATGAAGCCAAAGATTTCCACATAAATAGAATTCAATGGAGATCGGATTCTACAATCCATGGAGATTCTCATCAGCCATCATCCCAGCTCTTTCAGCAACCATGTGATAGCTAATGGAATTACTCCGCATTTCAGTCTTTGAAGTTATTTATAAAATCAATGCAATGATTAAAATTTTTGCTTCCCCAAATCAAGCCCCATTTCCAGTGAATGAGTGTGTGGTAGTGGACAACTTGACCCCTCAAATCAAGCTCTGGTGAAATGGGTCATGGGGTTCCCAGTGTCACTGTCAACCAGGGAAACAGTCCCGGATAGAGGTAAAGTGGGAGGTGTAGAGTTCTGGCTCTGCTGCTTCCCAGCCACTTTGAAGTACAGGCAGGTCACAACCTTTAGAACCCTTGTCTCCCATTTGCAAAACAATACTTCCTACCTTGTCCATCCATTGTGGTTACTGTGAAACACAAATGAGAGAATCTAGAAAGAGAGAAGATGGAAAAGTGCTCCTAAGTGGAACAGCCCGAGGCACTTTATTGATCTCTTATAAGTTGTCATTTGGTATGCGACAATTCAAAATCACTCCTCCAGCGCTGTGGTGACCCATTTAAAGGGGAGGGTATAAATGTATGACTAAAGGGCCTCAAAGGCGCACTCACCTCACTCCCTTAGGTTGTAACTTCTTTCCTGATTGTTCAAGTGCCTCATGGGACTGCTGGGGCTCCGGCAGCAAGACTCATGCTAACTGCACAGACCAGGAGGTGAAATTGCCAGCTTAATCACCTGCTACCTGAGGGACTTAATCAAGTACTTAATATTTTAAAAGCTTGTCTCCAGATCTCTGAAATGATGATAAAAAAAAAACAATACCTATCTCACAATACTGTGGGAGGATGAGGTGAGATAAGCACATTAAGAATGGTATAACGCGCGGGGCACAGAGCCGGGGTGAGGGTCACTGCTGGACTCCCTGGTTTCTGCAGCCAGCATGAAAGCGAACATCCCACTGGAGTCAGACCTGGTTTCAAGTCCTCTTTCCCTCTCCAACTGGCGCTAGGGTCCCGGATAACCCGCTCAATCTCTCTGGAGCTCAGTTACTACTCAAAATGAGAATGGCAAAAACTAAATCATGAAGCCTTATGTATAAAGATCACGTAAAGTAGCCTAGACGAGGGCACTGGGCTCATTGTAAAGCATACTGCAAATGCATACACGGCTCTTTACTTTTTCCGCACAAACACGCAATAATACAATTGCAAAGATTTTATTTAGCGGCTTTCTGTGCTTGGCACTTAGAAACAGAGTTCCGTGCATAAGGGCAAACTTTTTATACACCTTTACTTCATACATATTTTACATACCCTTTTTATTGCCCCCTTTTTTAATATTCATAATATTGGATTCCCCACTAGGCACATAAATACATTTATCTACAACACCTCAAAACCAAAAAATCTTAATAATATCTGCATTATTTTACTTGGTATTATTTGCATTTCCACACCACTTAAAAAGTTTAGCTTGCACCAAACTTCACTTGTTTTCTTAACATTAAAGGATCTGAAGGGGAAGGGAAAGATAAGGAAAAAAAAAAAAAACCCAAACTTCAAAATGCAATAAACTATTTGATAAAAATGGAGATCTAAGGGCAGGTGGAAGGATGTAGAAGGCCCATCTGCTATTCCCTGGCACGTGCCCGGATTTCTCCTGCCACAGGGGCTACAGGGCAGCCAATCCAGGTCAGGTGTCTGGATGTGGCATATGAAAGGTCAGGCCTCTATTTGTCGCCTCTGCTCTTGGTATCATCTGTTGGGATTATAACACCCTTCCTTCTTCACATTCCTTCTGTTCCCCCTCCCTGCCAGGCTGTGTGCTCTGGAATCGGCCCTCCCTCTTGCAGGGTACCCCTCTTCTAGATCACGGTGCTCAGAGCTGTGGGATCGAAGTGCATTCCTTGCCCGGGTCCCTGTCACCAGCACCTTGACTCTGCAGTGTCCCAGAGAGGCTTCTTCCTTAGTAATGCCACAATTCTTTCTATAACCTGTAAGGGGGAGGGCAGGAAACAAACCAAAACCAATTTCCTTGGTGCGTTAAAACTTCCACCATTGCTCATACTTCCTCTCTCTCAGTCTTGCTCACCGCCTGTCTCTTGCTCATTCCTCCTTCTCCTCCTTTCTCCTTCAGCTGCTCTAAGCTCTAACTCTTTCCCCAGGCACCGCTGGGAACGTCAGCGACAGCACACTGAGCCCGGGAGCCAAAGTTCAAAAGCAATCTTGTTCAGGAAGCCCAGTCCAGTTGTAGTGCTGACGTCTGTCTACGCTCGTGGATGGAAAGGGACTCCAGGATACGTGGTTCATTCCAGAAACAGGGTAGGCTGTGGGGGAGAAAGGTTGACAGCTACTGCTGGCCCAGTCCATCTAGTGTTGTACATAGACCAATTCTTGGTGAAAGCACCCATCTGGGCCCCCCCTCCAGAGTTCACCCACTTCCGAGTCAGTGTGCGTGTATGTTGGTGTGTGTAAGAGTCTATGTGTGGATATATATGTGTGTGTATGCATGCATGCACGTATGTATGTATGTATCATGTATAGGTAGGTCTGTATTTGTGTGGGGGTAAATTTTCATGGCTGCTACATGCTAGCATCTCCCTTAACATTATTATAAAATGATTATTCAGTTTCTTCAAAGGCCACTCTGGAGTAGACAATGCTTTATAAAACTAAGGTTTGGGAAGGCAGGGGAATGGCCACCGAGTCAGAGATGATACCACTGCAAGTATCCTTCAGTGGCTTAAACGTCTTTTGCTGTTCTTGGTTGGGTATGTGCTTTCCTCCTCCAGAAAACAAAACAAAACACAGTTCCCGTTCTTCAAAGGCTTGGGCTCCCAAAGAGGAGGACCTGCCCATGGAGACTCTGGGCTGGCCCTTAAACCATGTGCACGGACATCTGGGAGGAGGAGCCCGGGACCGCCCCATACTGCCGGCCGTCACAGGTGTTAGTCGCCTGCTGGTTATTGGGCGAAGGGCTAATCATGTGCATGCTGTGCTCCATCCCCGTGGGTAGGTACTGCCTCTCTCCAAAGGCCCCATTGGAAGGAGAAGAACAGAGTAAAGTGCTTTGAGAGGCGCTCAGTTTTTCTGGGCTTGCAGCTAGCCTGGGAGAAGTGGGGAAATTGTATCCATAGAGATTGTAAGGGTTGTGGAGAGAGAAGGCGTTGTAGGAGCTCTGCTGCATGTGGCTGCCCCCGAACATGTGTGGGGAAGAGGAGCTGGAGGCTGCGTTGCCGGCCTGCATGACGTACTGGAACTGGGAGGTGGGGAAGGACCCCAGCTGGCCACCGTAGGCTTCCATCTTGCCGTTGCTAGGCAACGAGGGAGGAGTCGGTATTCCTGAGATCAGGGATGGAGTCCTCTGAGGCATGAAGGTTTCGGAGGGCTGAGTGGCTGAAGCAGTGCCACTCTGAAGCCTGTTGTAGCCACTGTCACTCAGCCCTGGGTAGCTCTGCAAGGCAGCCATGTTGCTTCGGGCACAGGGCGGATAATCAGAGAGGTTGAGATTGCACAGCTGGCTCTCTCGACAGCCCACGTTGAAAGTGTTGGGGGCCAGATGAAATGTTGGAGGAGAACAGGATGGAGACAGAAGGTGAGAGGAAGCTGAAGGGGATGGTGTCCCGGTGCTGGAGGTGGTCGGGGAAGTGCCTGTGCTGCCCCCTGAAAAATAAAAGGTGAACACCATTGAGCCAGAGGCCTTTCGAGATGAGTCTGACTGGCCAGGTGCAAGCCACGCAGGAGGAAGCCTCAGATGTCCAAGATGGGCCGATTTTTACAGAACCATAGCTTTCTCTTAACCGACGTACGCTAAGTGATTCCAACTGTGCACACAAACACAGGCGCACACACACACACTCCAAAAGAGAAGAGGACAAAGAGGTGACACACAAGAACACTGAACTCTTGTGTCCCTGTGTGTAAGTGCCTTCAAAGTCTTGTTTAAGAAAGCAATAAGCAGGCATCCCTGGGTGGCGCAGCGGTTTGGCGCCTGCCTTTGGCCCAGGGCGCGATCCTGGAGACCCGGGATCGAGTCCCGCGTCGGGCTCCCGGTGCATGGAGCCTGCTTCTCTCTCTGCCCCTCTCTCTCTCTCTCTCTCTCTCTCTCTATGACTATCATAAATAAATAATGATAAAAACTCATCGTGCATTTAGAAAGAAAAAAAAAAGAAAGCAATAAGCATTCCAGTATCCACTTTGCCATCTCTCACCATCAAATCCACTTTCCAGTAAGACCTCTGGTAATCAGCATTAAAATCCACCAGCTCAACTTCCCCCCTTGTCCACGGAAATATGTTAAATACCTGTTGTCACCTGAGACTATTGCTGACCTTGCCATAGTTAGTCCTCCAGCTAAAAACAAATCTCAGGCCCTGACCCTCGGAGGAAATGGGGTACTGGGGTAAGGTGTCAAGTCAAGGTTGAGGCCTGGAAAGGCTGAGCAGGGAGGACCGGGCAGTAGGAAGTGAGGTATGGGATCCAAGTTCTGTCATATATTACAAGCACAACCAGAAAAGCTAAGCTAACCTGTAACAAAATCATTATAATCCAGAGGCTCTGCTAATGTCTCTCTAGAAGAGCCTGCCCTCTGTCTCAGAGACTGGAACAAAGACTGCAAATGTAGTCTGTGGATTTGGGGATTTGGGGTATTTCTGAGGGCAAGAGTCCAGACAGGTCACAAAGTCAAGAGATCTGGGTTCTCACAGCAATGCCACACAAACCCCCCATCTGACCCTGGGCATGTCACTTATCTTCTCTGGGTTTGTTTCTTTATCCAGAAGATGAAAAATTGAATTAGATCAGTAGTTCTTAAGCTAGGAGAAGCTGCAAGCTTCAAGTTCCAGGATCCCACCCACCTCAGACCAACTAAATGAGAAGCAAAGGATTCTAATGTGCAGCCAGGGTTGAAAACCAGTGATACTAACCAAATCCCTTATATCAGAATACCTGGCAGAGTGATTCTTAAACTTTAGGGTGCAAGAGAATCACCTGGAGAGCTTATTAAAACAAATTGCTGACTCTGTCCCCAGAGTTTCTAATTCTACAGGTCCAGGGCAGGGCCAAAGAATTTGCATTTCTGAGACTCATGCTGCTTGCTAGCCTAGAGACCACACTTTGGGTTAGGAGATCGACACGTCCCTTTCATCTCAAGTTCCTGAAACTGCATTTGACAAAGTTGCTCCTCTGACGTGTGGATATTAGAAATGGATTGGTGGCTGATGCACCAACAGATAAAGGGCAGGTTCAACCCAACCTACTTCATGTGTGTTCTCACATAGTCTACGAAGGTAAAAATGACCTTCTCCTTTCAGGGGCTACAAAGCAGCTGGGCAGCAGCCACTTCTTGCCTCAAGGGCTGGGGCTGCTGAACCTTCCAATTGAATTCCAGAATGGGAGGCTGCTCTGTCTTCCATAGGCACGCTCCCATGATGGAATTCCTCCTTCAGGACAAGGTTGGGAGCTTCCCAGAGTTGTTGAGAGCCCCAGTTCCCCCAAGGAGCATGGTACCCTTAGGTCATCCACAACTCAGGTGAGGATTTTTAGAACCTAAGATTCTATAAAAGGGTAAAGGACATTTTAAGTGGGAAGGAGTAGTAATAAGGTTTTTATTAGTGAGAAAAATGTGAAGAAAACTGGCAGGATTCCAGAGATATTGGGATAGAGAGAAACCATCAACAGTGTGCCAGGGAGGTGGGTCCAGATGTGCAAATGGGGAGGCAGATACCTCAAAGAGAAACCCTAAGTTAATTTTTAGCCTCAGCCTACATACACAGATATGGTAGTAGTATTGACTGTGGAAGTACAAATTTATATCCTGTTAATAGTTTTTTCAATTTTCACAAAACCCAACTAGTATCATCTCTTCCTTGGTCAAAAAAATTTCCCAATGAACTTCCAAAGTAGAACAGTAAACAGTTGCTGATTTTAAAGTCATTTCAGGAAATTCACCTTCCTGTTTCTTCTTTATGCGTTAAATTCCTTTAAGAGAGGTAAAAAGGGTTTTATTCCACAAATTGAGATAAGGCCAATATCATATATATCACTGTGTGAGGTAAGCCAACAGCTGACCATTGGTAGGAGGAGCACCCAGTCTAATTCTAGGTCCGTTGGCCTCTGTCCATCTCATGACCACAGGCAACATGGGCTACCTCTTCATTCTCCCCATCCTTAAAGAGAGTCTCAAACTGATAGGCTTCAGTACTTCTCAGAATTACATCTATGTCTAAGGATTAAATTTGTGGTAGAGTGTACATGGGCAATAACAAGGACTTTTCAAGGAACCATTTTAATACAAAGAAGGAGTTTTGGAAGGGGAGAGCTGAGCAGAAAAAGGAAGAACATTTCCCACTTCTTGTCTATGGACCACTGAGTGGCCTAGCCTACCGGGCCTTATAGGAAGTTCAGAGATTCATTTTCTGCAGGAGGCATTCTACACATTTTCCTCCTCTTCCACCCTAACCACTATGAGCTTCAGTGAAATAAGTGCTATGGCACACATGGAGAAACTTGACTCCAGCTGTAAAGAGATTTGTGTTTTATGGGATATGTATCTGGTCTCCTCTCTTTGAAAGTCCGTCCTTGCTTTCCCAGATCTGGTGTTTATGTGATCCCTGAAGAGACCCCCTGTTCAGCACCCCGCACTGTCCTGTTATAGGTACACTCCATCAGGCACCAGCCCTAGCCCTGCAGCAGGAAGTGCAAGATGGAGCAGATGACTTTTTACAACTCTAAATGGTTTTCTCAGATCGCCCAAGATAGAACGAATGGTACTGATTTAAGGCCTCAATTGGTTTCACTACAAAAAAATAAGAAGGGAACTATTAACAAGTTACAGAGATTTCTGCTGAGCAGATGAGAGGTACATGTTAAAAAGTTTGTAGTCAGCTTGCTTTGGCTTTTAAATGACACTCACTGGAAATGAGACTTGGTGGCCTGCTGAGTTTCAGGGGGTGGGAACCCCCACATGAACTAGCGTTTGAAGAAATGCTCTTCTGCATTAAAAAGACTCAATATAAATAACAGCTATTTTTCAAGGTCCACGGAGAAAGAGAAGACTATGGTACTCATTTTGTAGAGAAGCAAATCGAGATACTGAGAAGTCTTTACTCTCTTATGATCTCACAGCTTGTCGGCTGTTAAACAAGATCAGGAGTGCCAGCCAAGTGCTAAGTAAGCACAAGGAGGCAGGCTGCCCTCCCTGTGCATTTCAACACTTGGCTGCCTTGAGGCCTCACATCACCGAAGAGCTAGGGCAGAGTAGGAGGCCAGGCCACACTGATACAGAAGGGTCAGAGCTGCCTCTCAAAGAAAAGCATACCTCCTTTTCCTGCGTAACATTCTCATCTCACCCCCTCTGGTTCAGCCAGGTCCTGAATGCTCTAAGGGTCTTGATTTAAACCTGCTTTAATAGATGAGAATGGACTGGATGGATCTGGATTTTTTTTTAATATTTGTCAAAATTAAATACATTGTAAATATTGTTTCCTTTTTTCTTCCCTTCTGTAAGTGAAGGAGGAGTGAAAGAAGGAGTAAGGAATCCTAGTGCATTTGAGTTCTGATGGAAAGACTCTCAGGTGTTGGCTTCTGTCCATGCAGCTGAGCATCTTGGCCTCCCCGCACACTGGTGAGCACATGTCATAGCTAGATGCCTGGATGTAACAGGCTGGAGGAGCCTCCATGGCTGCCAATGATAAAGCACTGGGCCATTGACCCCTACAGGCCCATTAAGCCCGTATTCCCAAAAGCTAGACCAACTCTGTTTCCCTTCTGACCTGTCTTTTCCTCTCCCCTCACCCCCCCCACCCAGAATGGAAATTTGATGCCCCATGTCTCTTATCTCTTCTCAGACCAAGCAAGTGGAATTGAAAACAAGTAGGTAGGTTGGTATCTTTCCCACTGTCCTCAGAGGCCCTAATCCACTTCTGAGAGGTAATTAAAATGTAATGCCCTAAGTAGCTGAAAACTCCCTGGTATTCCAGGACCAATCCCCTACCCTCCACACCTCCCTGCATCCTGTCTTACCCATTGACTTAAGTGAGGAGGTACTCCTTGAAATTCATATTCAACATTAACTTGCTCTAATATTCAAGGCTCACAGCCAACCTAACCAAAAAGACTGTGTTTAGCAGTGATTCCATATGAGGACAACAACCTAGAATATACTTGTATACCATGAAGACAAGTTAAATGTGACCATGAAAATCCTGGATACCAAACCTGCTGACTTTTGCATGTTTAAATTGATCACTTCCAGACTGTAATATGGAGGCTTTCACATACAGTTTCCTTTTGGGTTTATTTTGTTGTGTTTTATTCCCCCTGCCCTCTCCCTACACACACAAAAATTGAAAAACAGTAAAAAAAAAAAATCCCATCTGAGCTAGTAAAGAATGAATTTCCATGTAATTACTTGGTTCTACGAGCCAGACTCTTCTCTCATATAACTTGGTGGCTTGTGTCTCTGAAGAATGTGGAATCACTGTGTCCCTGAGTGGCCTTCTTTGAGGCTTTCAGATAAAAGATAAAATGTCAGTACCCTATGGACTTAACCCAGGAATAAACCCAGAGTCCATAAAGTTAATGATCATGATCACAGCCTGCCCGTCCCTATTAAGGAATCACCCTTAGTTGAAATGAGTACCCTTTTTAAAATGCAAATGTGT